GGAGCTGTTTGATGCACAGAGGATTGATGAGATCGCTTTGCCGTTGGCGGCTTCCAGGATGTAGCAAGTATCAGTTTGGTCCTGTTTGATGCACAGAGGATTGGGGCTCAGCCATTCCGCCTCATTCACAGGATGTTAGATTGGCACTAGCAACGAACTGATATTAGCGTCTAGTATTTACGGATACGCTGCTCTGGAGGTCCAAGCATGAATGTTTTCTTCACATAAGTTAAACGTTACCTTATCGGTAAAACTCACAGGCGTACCTTAAAAGACAGCAATCTTTCTCACTTTTGGCATGCACTAAATGGTTGATGTTTATCATTACAATTGTGAGTTTCCTCGGTATAAGATCGCTTTGCCGTTCCAAGATGTAACAAGTATCAGTTTGGTCCTGTTTGATGCACAGAGGATTGGGGCTCAGCCATTCCGCCTCATTCACAGGATGTTAGATTGGCACTAGCAACGAACTGATATTAGCGTCTAGTATTTACAGATACGCTGCTCTGGAAGTCCAAGCGTGAATGTTTTCTTCACATACGTTAAACGTTACGCCTGTGAGTTATCGGTAAAACTCACAGGCGTAGCTTAAAAGACAGTAATCTTTCTCACTTTTATTTCGAGATCAAATTCCAGCCACATGTCGAACCAAAACTGAGAAATAGAACGCGGAGCGAACTTCGAGAGGAACGTCAAGGAGTCAATCTGAGAGGAACGTTCGTCTCGAACAAACACATCACACATTATCGAAAAATTATATTCAAAAGCGTAACAAAAGATACCATGAAGATTTAGAGGGTGGAGTGAATAGTAGAAAGTCAAAGTTGCTGTGTACTAGTCTTGAACTGTCATGAACTTTCCATTGAAAGTGACTTCTTTTCCTTTATAGATAAAGATTATGGCATAGTGAGAGTGCCAGATGCTCGTGAAGGACTAAAAAACTGATTGCATCATGTTCTCGAAGAATAGTCCGAGTAAAACATGCTGTAATCAAGTCTAAAAACGAAGCTAGAGCTATTTACAACGCGGAAAATCGATAATGCATGACTTCTTAAGGTATGCGCTTGAGTTTCTTGAGGCATGCACATTGTTTTAGATATTTCTCATCTCATGCGCATATTTCAAGCAACTCAAGCTCATGAGACAAGAAAGTGAAGCACATACCACATAGTGTGAGGACTGACAAAATTTAGCTGCATGAAAAAACGTAATCAATCTCAAATGTGTGGGACTCAAATTCATTGGATAGAAAGTTCGGAGATCGTCACAAAATATTAAAAGACTGATTTGAAATGATCGGATGTTTCGGACAAACACTAGAAATCGATGATGGCGCTATTGATTACCTTAAAATAGCGACATACGCTAGCGCCATCAGAGACTTTTCTCACTAAGGGCTAATCGTCCGAAAATTTTGATCACTTCAAATAGAATATATCATAATTTCGTCTTATAATCAGAGTTCCTAGATCCTCGGGTCAGAAATGCGGAATAAAAATCCCAAAATGCGGAAACTTGCGGAAAATTTTTCTCAGAATGCGGACAAAAAGCGGAAACACATTTTCATGGTCTAACTTCATCCGTTTTCACGCACAATCACAGAGTTGCCAGCTGGAGTGCCATAATCGACACGGTTTTCCGCCGTATTGGCATTAATTGTGGTGCCTGAGCTGGCAACTCTGCCGGCACATAGTCAAAAAAATGTTTTCTCTAGCACTTTATGGTTTTATTCAATAAAACACAAAAGAAAAACAAACAGAAATGTAAGTCACGATTTTAGCTGACACGTTGTTTTTGGACTGTATATTTTTGATTATAATGAATAAGTTTAAGCAGATCTGGCGTTGATAAGAAATAATTATAAATTTCAGTGCATGATAACGATGAGTTAAAGCGAATTTTTAACTCAGCTGCAATCATTTCTGTCGACATACGATTTCTTTTATCGTTAAATAAATGTTTCATGGAAAAAAATGCACTTTCGACGTATGAATTACTGCACGGAATCGAAAATATAAACGAAACTAATTTATGTATGTTTGGAGATGATGTTGGTTTGACAATAGGATGAGAAAGAGAATCCTCAATAGATAGACATTCTTTTTTTAAATGTTATATGTAAACAGGGGAAAAACAGCAAAAGCAGACAATTCTCAAAATGCAGACAAATAACGGACAACGGACAATTTGCGGAAAAAAGTCCAAAATGCGGAATTTGTCCGTAAAATGCGGACCATCTGGGAAGTCGGCTTATAATTGAAATTTCCATCCAATGAATTTGAGTCCCACACATTCAAAAAGAGATGGCGCATGCTCATGTGCTTGAGAAAAGAGCTTCACTAGGTAAGAACTCTTCATCATTTTCAAAAACAAGCAAACTAGAGAACAAATTCTATTTAAAATAAATGGAGAGTTTATTTTGATATTTTATTGAATTTCTTCATCAAATAATGCTAGAAACGACACTCGTAGTCATACACTTCCCCCAAAGGAAAATCTTTATTGGAAAATAAATGAACAGCAGGGATCAGGGGTGATTCAGAAGTATTTGCTAATGGGGACACAAATACGAGTGGCGCTCATCGTCATCTATGTTCAATACAACTGATGTAAATGTAGCTATGAAATATAGAAGAGAAAGATTGCTATTTATTTCTAGTAGCGAAGTAGGTAAGCCAAGAAAAGTGGAAATACATTTCAGTTCATACAATAGAATTCCTTAAATCCTTTAAAGCTCCAATCGAATAGTGATGCATGCATGCATCACTATTCGATTGGTTTGCTTTAACAATCAATAAATGTTTCAGTTATGGAAGCAGCAGTGTTTCTAACATTACGCGTACGGGTTGTCCCTTTTTTTACTGAGAAACTGATTTTACTGAACTTTGCTGATTGGGTGACAGAAAACTTTACGATCTGGTGACTCAGAAACTCAGTTCAGTTCAGTTCAGTTTCTCAGTAAAAAAAGGGACAACCCGCGTACGCCTTTGTTTCAAAGCGTACGGTACGCGACCTAAATTGAAAATACGCTTTGTATCAACCAATAGGAAAAGACAGAATGATAAAATCCACGAATTATCACGCTTATGTACGCCCTGCTCAAAATTCTCATTAGAAACCCTGGGAAGCAGCAGCCATCCATCCAGCGACTGTTGGATGACTGCTCACGTTTAGTTGGATGAGACTGTTCATTATGTGATCCCGAAGGTGGTGCAGAAAGAAAGGCAAAATGCATTCCTTTTATACATAGACAATGCATTTTTTCCTTCCTTTTTCCCTTTTTTTCTGTCCCATCGTCCCGAAAAAAGCAAAACATAAACTCATTTCAAATAAATCATCTATGAAACAGCCTATTTTTTACTTTTTTGGTGGCTCACCATTCATAACAACTATGTCTAATTATTCATTTCATTTTGTACACATTGTATGACCCAGCGGGGTACTGATCATCTATATGTGCACAAAAAAGAATAATAATTAGACATAGTTGTTATGAATGGTGAAGCACCAGAAAAGTAAAAAATAGGCTGTTTGGTACTTCTATAGATTGATCACACAGTCACACCTCAGTAGGGACTGTGATCAATCTGTAAAAGAACTACCAGCTCTTCTAATGATTGCTGGTCCAAGCGTAAGCAAAGTAGTTTTCCATTTTGAAAATTCGATTTTTACTGTGTTTTTAGGAGGAAAAGGGCAGAAAATGTATTGGTAAACTGTGGAAAACCACATTGTGTGTGTGTGTGTGTGTGTGTACTGAATTTTCGAAATACTGATTTGACCCGCTGTCTTTTTTCTTTTTTTTCTGATTCAACGACTTATTATATTTGAAGATTGTTAGGGTACATTACACTTCGTCTTTTAACAGAACTTCAGCAGATTTTAATGAAATCAATCCTACTATCTAAATGTTGCACATGACAGTCATTCCACATAACTCTGCTACCGAAAGCTGAGTGCGTTACCATTTTTAGGAAACTTAAAACCGTTATAAATTTTTGAGGAAAAGTCGTGGAGAGTTGTGCAAACTGTCGTTATGCTTCATGTCTCAGTTCAGAAACATCGTACCCATTTCTTTTTCCATTAGAAAGAGCAGATTCTAGTCTACAATAAGAACAGTAGATACCAATCGGTTGGAAAAAGAGATATTACTTTTACAAGACAAGCCGTTAATAACCCATTTGTAAAAGCAAAATATTTCCCTCTTGCACTGGATAGTCAATTAATGTATTCACTTCATATACGGTTTTACAAGAGGAGAATTTAAAAAGAAAACTTTGTCATGATTTTTAAAGTAAAAAATATCCAGTGAAAAGGTGAGGGCACTAGTGTGAAATTAGTCAACACACTGATTACTCTAAATTAGAACAGTTTATTTCCGTGAAGGAAAAAGCTTTAATTGTTATCCCATACATCAAATGAAAGTTCTTTGAATGTACTAGGGTGATGACCTTGATTAAGATAGAAACTATTGGCTTTCAGTAATGAAGTATGGGTGACTTTATTTTTGCACAGATTTGACTTGATCACCCTAATTATGCAATACGTAGCAAGCACATTCTGATATCACAAGAAAGGGCACATTGCGACGAGCGTATTGATATATAATGCGTCAAGAAAACTAAACACAAACAAAATATGAAGTCTTCATTTACAAACATGATTTTTACAAATGGGTTATTGACCGCTTGGCTTTTAAAGTAGTATCTCTTAAATAGTATCTCTTTTTCCAATTGGTTGGTGTCCATTGTTCGTATATATTTTTGTAGACTAGAATCTATTCTTTCTAGTACTTAAGAAGTATGTGCGATGTTTCTGGACTGATACATGAAACAAACAAAAAAAGCGAACAAAACTTTTGCGTCACCCATTATTTATTTAAAAATAAGTTTATAGCAACACTGTTTGAACTCTTTAATACACTTTATGTTAGCTTTCTACATATCGTTTAAAATCCGATTCTTCTTTTGTTTGATTAAGCCTAAAAAGCTATCGTTAGCAAAATGGCATCCACCGATAAACTAGTGACAATGTCGGATATTGCTGAGTTAGCTAAAGACAAGGACAAATGCATCATTATTGTGGATGATAAAGTATACGATGTCACTAAATTTCTTGACGAACATCCGGGTGGCGAAGAAGTATTGAAAGAACAACATGGCCAAGATGCAACAACAGCTTTTGAAGATGTTGGACATTCGATTGATGCTCGACAACAAATGATACAATTTCAAATTGGACAGTTACAACGAGTAAGTATCGCAAAACCAAAAAGAATTTTTTTTAGCCAGCTAAAAGGTTGACAGTTATTCTTAACAATAATTATTCTTTTATTGTGTTTTTAGGACGACAAAACAACTACTAAACAACCAGTGAGATTTTAAATTTTCCTTTAAGAAGCAGTGATGATTATCGAAATTTTGTTATTTAGGTACGAGCACCAGTTAATACGACAACAACTCCAGCAGTCGCAGCAACGTAAGTCTCTTGCTTTTAAAGCATTTCTTCATTTATCCCATCTGTAAAAATTCATTAGTGCGTACTATTTCATTTTTGGTGCTATAAAAACTTCATTAGCTATCGTATAATGTTTTCTGTTCAAAAAATAGATTTCATTAATTCATGTTCGCAGTTATTATGTTGTCGTTGTGTGATAGTTTGGAAGGACATTGAATTAGTTTTTGATTGTAAACTCTTCCTTTTAAATTTTATTAACAGAAATTATTTCAATTTGAAATAATTTCTGTTAATAAAATTTAAAAGGAAGAGTTTACAATCAAAAACTAATTATGTTGTCGTATGTTAACTGAATGAAGAGTTCCTATAATCATTACAGATATAAAATGATGTATCATTTATGTTTCTTTTTTATTTTAGTTCATGGACAAAATTGATTATTCCGATCGTGATAGCCGTGTCAGCCGTTGTTATTTATAAACTAATAGCTGGACAAATGGGAGCCTCTTCTACATCCTAAAGACTTTTAATTATTCATTTTCATTATAAGCCAAATTTTTATCAGTTTTTACTGGCGTTTTTATTATTAATTCTTTTCTACTATGATCGTTATAATCCAAAAACTTTCTATACATTTCATTGATCAGTTTATAAAAATAAAACTGAGTTTAATTAGCACTAACGTTAATTGTATCTTTTTTTTCTTTGTATTTCCATAAATGATAATTGCAAATATATTTAGTTTTATTTTTGAAAGCAATTTTCTATATTCTAGACAGAGATATACACTGTCTTATTGATGTTTACAAACAAATGATTTTTAATCTTTTGTAAATTGACTACTGAATTTATTAATTTTTAACTAATTAATAAATAGGCAAATAGATACAGTACATATTTTTTCTCTTACAAAAATACAGTAGATTATGTATAATAATAAAAATATTCAGAAAAATTCAATATCTTTAATTCATGAAAGAAAATTCGTTTCATTGCACATAAATTTCTTCTTCTTGGGATAATGGACTTAGATGAGCATCAGCCTTGCTTGGCGACTTTTTACGTGGTAGATATAAACCTGCATCTGTCAACTCTTTTATCATTAAGTTCCAATCAATTTTGAGTACAGGTGCATCAGTAACTACTGAAAATCCAAATAGTTTTTGAAAAATAGTTGAATTTAACGGTGAGGACGTGATCGATGTTTCAGATTTGTCTGCACTAACAGGTATTTCGACGACTGAATTTAGAGACGTGATCGTTGTTTCAGATTTCTCTACGCTAACAGGTATTTCGACGACTGAATTTAGAGACGTGATCGATGTTTCAGATTTCTCTACACTAACAGGTATTTCGACGACTGAATTTACAGACATGGGTGATGTTGTTGGTGCACTAAGATTTGGTAACAATTCGCGTAACACACACGAACGATGTTTCGAATGAAGATTTGGAGTAGATGATCGATGACAAGGATATTCTGATCGATGTCGCTCTAATTCTCTCGCTGGCAAATAATTGACCAACAAATGTCTGAAACAATATTTTAAATCAAAGAGAGTTGATCATTTTTTTGTCAAAAATAAAGAACGTACGATATTATACCTAAGGAATGGTATGGCACTAACATATATATGTTTCAGGGCTCGTCCTTCTTTTGTAATCATCTTTAATGCCTCCATTTCACGTTGTTGATTACGAATATCGAGCCAGATTGTGTTCTACAAACGTAAAGAAATGAGACATTTTCAATCTAACGACAAGCACGTACCAATATCTCTCGTTTGTCTGATTGAAATTCGGCATTTTGACAAAATCTATCAATTACGAATAGTCCAATTTTTCGACCATCATTTAATCTTGCTATCCAGTAATCTGTGGGTTTATACGATGTTAAATCAACCTTTGTCTCTTCGAAAAACTAAAGAGCAAGTTTCCCATAAAGAATATTAACGTAACTACGAGAGTAAATACAAACCTCTCTTGTGGCACAATTCCATTTCTCTTCGTATTCATAATAAATTTTATTCGTGACACTATCAAATTTGCGAAATATTTTGGGTTTCCCTTTAGGAAAACTCCAATACAGTTTGTCATTTTGAACTAAAAACACCTTAAAAACAGAAAAAAATAAGATGGTTGCTGACCTTATATATCTCTTAGTGCATATTTTCGTTTATCGATAATTAGTTCGCCATTCTAGTAGTTTATTATTAGTTATTGTAAAACAAATATTCGACAGAACTGATCTATACGGTTACAGGTCGGTTGTAACTTCTAGTTTTCGTGTATACCATCATACCCAACATACCTTATCTTGTGAATTTATTAATATTATACCATACGCTTCTGGTTGAACTTTACTATTGAATAAATGAACAATACCACGAATCAGTTGAATTTTAACTTGTTTGTCTAATCGCTGTATTGTCGGATATTTCTTTTCAAATAATTCTGAAAATAAAAAAACAGGAAATTTTTTTGTATGACTACCAGATCCACTTACGATTATGCAAAATATAATCGATCATTTTAATTTTTTTTGATATGATTCCGTGATCTTTGTCATCGAAGTAGTTGTTCTTCCAAGTTTCGATTTGTAAATACAATTCAAACGCATTTTCTTCACCAAGTAAATACAACAACGGTTGACTTTTAAAAGAATGAATAGATATCTGCACAATGTACTAGCAAAGTAAAGATCACAAAAATCTGGCCTGCGCTTTTGGCGCTCTTTGCTTATAAGATGTAGATTTTTCGGCCTTCTAGTTATTTTTTTCAATCAATAGCCTTCTCAATCCCATGGCCAGCGACCATTTGGATGTGCATCGATATTACGAATTCATATTAAAGAAAACGAGTCAGATCATCGTGTCTCTGCTTCATCTGAATCAAAAAGCAATCCAGGAATCAATGAACCTGATGTTCGATTAACTCCAATTATTTAACTTGAGAATATTTTGATCTTAGAGCCACATGTCTTGGTAAATTTCTGGTTATCACTCAGTACTGAACTGATTATCAACTAGCTAAGCAGGAAGGAGAATCCATACTTCTAATATACATAGTTCCTAACTCTAACATACTTGAAATAAAATAAGAGATTGTCTCTACTTGTTTGATTCTCCATGATGTTGTGTGTGAATGCGAGATGAACTTCTATGTCAGATGAAAATGACAAGATATACTGTGAACGATCGGAATATATTGTGAACACAACGGAAAGAAACATTTTTCTTCTATATATTACGAATTTACATAATCAGTCGAATATCTGATTGTTTTTTGACTGCTGCTGTATAACGAAATTGACGTTAATTTTCTTGTTTTTCTGTATTGTTATAATATTCATTATAATCGCGTCAAATATACAGTGAAAGTGGAATAACTGCCTAACGTTTCGTCTGAAGTTTATGTTTGGAGAATGAGTCTCTAAGATATTTTTATGAGCATTTATTTTCAACAATGATGTGTAATTTTTTCGCTTTTCGTATATTTTATGAATGCAGGAGAAGATTTGTAATAAAGCAATTTTAGATATGTTTGGAGTTGCATGCAATAGCATGTAAGCATTGCCGGCAAACTTCAAATTTGGTCAAAGTTTAAATTTAAAGTCTGACGCGGAGTTTCTCGGACAAAATTCAAATTCAAATTTTATTCGGTCAAAATACAAATTTAAAGTTTGACCAGAGTTTATTCGCTCTGAACCTAAATAAAAACGTAATGCTGTGATGATCCATGAAAACCTTAATTTTATAATTATTCCCTTGTAGTCAGGGTCATATAAAGAAAAATGTATGTTTGCCCACACGGACAAATCAAAAAAATCAATAACTTTCTAGAGAAACGGTGTAGATGGGTGAAACTTGTGAACTGGATAATCCAACATGGAGAATTTAATAGTATTGAAGATCTTTAGGAGAAGGTTTTTGAAAAATATTTGATTTTCTGCCGTTTTTTAGCTACAGTTTGAATCAATATGAAGGATAAGCATGATGTTCAATCTCCAGAGGGTTTCTAGATAACTCTTGGTTTTCTCCCGATTTTTAAATGCGATTTGAAGTAAAACGTAGTGGGAACATAATATTCGACACCTGGGAGCGGACTTTGAATTTGAATTTTGTCCGAGAATTTGGTTGTTAGGATATATGAGCAAAAATTTACGATGCATAGCAAAAGATACGTGTACAGTAAATGCTTATCTGTTTCTCGAGTACTATAAGTCGAATTGTTATATCCTATATACCAAATTGTAGATTAAGAGTTCCTTAACAAAACAGCATATTAAACGAATGTGAATAACGTACCGGAAAAAAACTATGATCGATCGAAAATAATAGGTCATGTTTTGAACAAAGTAAGATAAAATTATTCTAACTCAGCAGCGAGCTAACGGCGGCAGCTAAAAATATTATATTTGTGATCAGCGCACTTAGCTCTATCGGATCCCATGTATTTCTCCAAAATTCCAAAAGATTCTCCAAAAAATTTGTTTTTTTAACATACAACCGACAGTGGAAAATAACAACGTATATTTTTAAATTTTTGTTCTTGAATTTTTTAATTCTTTTGTAATATGAGCATATAGTACTCATATTATTTTTACTTACTATTTTTTGTTAAAAATCTTTAGTATATAGTGTTTAGTAGTGTCAATGTTTTAATTGATATTGGAAAGACTAATAACTTACTCCACCGTTATCATTTGAGCAGTGATCATACACTAAGAAATCGTCATTCAACTAACAGAATTCAATATCCTACAGAAAACACTAAAAATAATATTCAACATATAACACCATCTCAGTTACGATTAATGTATGATGATATTGTTTATCAGTTGAAAATGGATCGATCACAAAATGTCTATGAAAGAAATTTGCATATTCTCTATGATATT